TTTTTTTTTTTTTTTTTGTTTATTAGTAGCAATAGATATTGTTGTTTCTCTTGTCGTTCAATAGACCAATCCCCCAGTTCGACATCGAAGGTGTGGGACACAAACCACACACGGATTAAAGAATGACAGGTAAAAATATGAATAAACACAACTATTATTAATAAAGAAGGAGCCTGCGTACGTGTGTGAACGAATTCGTGGGAATATATATATATATATATATAGACCACAGTAAAAAAAAAAAGGCAAACTAAGATAAAAATAATAATAATAATCACAATAAAGGACGCAAACAAAGGGAAGATTAACAGATATTTGTTTTTTCTTCACCTCTCTGTGTTTCGTTACTTGTTTTTAGTTTTTTTTTTTTTTTAGTTTCTTTTATCGTTATCCCTTCTCTTAGCAAATACTTATGTAAATATATGCAAAGATCTTTCCTTTACCTGCTTTTTTTTTTCTTTTTGTCTGTCCGCTAGGGAAAGGGACTCAGATAAATTCCTATGTACTATATTGCAATGATTACGTTTCAGATCAACATAATAAGTGTAAAGAAGAAAAAAAAAACAAGAAAGAATAATGCCAATACAGGTTAAAAAAAACAGATAAATAATTAGAATGACAAATACAGAGAAAGCAACAACAACAAAAAAGAATAACGACAAACGACAATACCTGGGTAACAAACACATCACAGGACCTTGAAGGGTTACACCAACACAAATAGTAGGTCCTTAATCATACACAGCAAATGCTTTATAGTGAAAAGAACCAGAAGGTTCATATAATCGAGGTAAAAGAAAAAAGAAAAAAAAAAAAAAAAACACCATGATTAAATTGCACAAGTAAAACAAATCCAAAATATTATTATACAGTACCTTCATCTTGAAATACAAGTGCGATAAACCAGTACACGGCTTCTACCTCAGATACCTCTGTGGATCTCTTCACAACTTTCTTCGGAGCTACCTCTTCAGTTGCAGAGAGTAATGCCCCTCCTGAGGCCTCAGGATAATCAACCCATACAGAACCATTCTGCATCATCCGCTCTAATACTGCCTGCACTCGGTGTGGTTGCCACATCAAACGTTCTTCCAGCTCCTTTTGTGTGAGTGCTACACATTGTGCTTTTAGCGGAATATCTGAATTATTACTAATACCTGTTTCTTCTTCATAGTCATTTTCACCATTATCCACATCTCGTTCTGTGGTGACACCACCCCCTTGAATTCGTGATAATCCCACACGATGCATATTTAAAGTGGGAAACACTACAGGTTTTGGTTTCACTTCATTCTTATCTCGTGTGGACCGATACGCTTTTATTCGTTTTGCTTGTTCTTCTAAAACACAATTGAGCAGCGGCACATCGTCAGCACTTCGACTTCCATCTGGAGTTGTTTGAATGTATTTAATACCAGCAAGCTCCACAACGTTATACCCATCTCCCAGTACATGGAGTTTATCCAATGCCATGCAGACATCCCCTTCTGTAATGACGCTTTTTTTGCTGCGTCCTTCTCCATCCCCATCATACTGCCTTTTCACAATCTGCACAATACGCCGTAAAGGGACATAAGCCCCACAGAACTTCCTCTCCCGCATACACGCCTCCACCACCTTCCCTGCGAGGCCGTAGTAAAAGTCCCCGAGTCCGAGCAGCCCGGCAAAGACATTCCGGCGGGAGGAGATGAGATCAACGCCGAGGGAGTCCGCGAGCTGCCGGAAGCGGGCGCGGACGACGGGGTCCCGCTCGATCTCCGCGCGGTGGTGGGCGGCGAGGCGGCGGAGTTGCGTCTCGAGGGCGTCGAGTTCATCCGCAATTCGCCCGACGCGCTCCGCCGTGAGCCGCGCCCCCAAATCCGCCATCCGCCGCTGCGCCTCCCCCCGCCGCTGAACATGCCCCACACCCACACCCCGCCGCATATATATTCAGAGAGAGAGAGAGAGAGAGAGAGAGACAACTGCAAAGAATAGATAAGAATAAAGAAGAAAGTAGAGAGAGAGAGAGAGAGAGAGTAAGAGAGAGATTGAGTTTGATTGGGGGTGTGTGGGGTAGGCAGGGTATAACTTTAAAATAACTCACCCTTTTTCCCACCATCTATCTACCCCCCGATGCGTTATTCGATTAACCTGCTCACAGACAATACATAAGAAATAAGAAAAGGAGAATATCTATATCTATACCTATATCTAATATATATATATATATATATATATATATATATATATATAGGTTTTTAACGAAGATATATGTCAACCATAATGATTGTACACGTCTGTGTGTCACCATCAGAAGTATCATATATAAAAAAAAACCCCCAAAAGATCCTCTTCTTACCATCTATTAGAGACGGAAACCTATACGACAAAAGCACTTTTTAAACGACATTTGTTCTTGTATGAAGAGGTGTATATTTGCAACTCTTCTCCTCCACCCCCAGTTAAGCATCGATACTTGAAAACGTCTTTTTATCTATAGAATAATAAAATTCACGGTTTCCAAAACAAAACAAAATGTCTGTAAACCCAAGAAAAACCACCCCCACAAACTTAACATTCAACCTCCAGACTCCATTAGGGAGGTTCATACAGGGATTGTATTTTATCGCCTCTTTCCTCCTCAACCAGTCACAATCACCAAAAGTGAAAGCTAACCCGTTACTAATCTAACGTAAGATATCAATAGTAAAGAAATACTACATCCAATTTACCAAAAGAAGTAATGTCCAAGTACCTTGTGCTGTATAATTCAAATGTTCAAGACCTTCAAATCCAGTTGCATAGTATCCCAACGGTTACTTGGAAAATAAGATCACATAAAAACCTTTACATAACTAAAGAAAAAGACTACAGCGCAAACACAATAAAGAATATTATCAGTATTACTAGTAGAAAAAGAAAAAGAAACAAAACAAAAAAAAAGGCACGCACAATATATACAGAGGAAAAAACGCAATACCAAATCAATAATACCATCAGAAAGAGAGAGAGAGAGAGAGAGGCACCGCCCACGAAACAAAGAAAAGAAAGAAAAAAAAAAGATATTAAAAAAAAAATTATTTCTTACATCATTTCTTCCAAAAAAGGAAAAAAAAACACGCGCACACACACACACACACATGTACCACCAGTTTTTCGCAAATAAGATGCATTAAGTCGAAATTAAAGATTATATATATATATATATATATATATATATAGTCGAAAATTACAATTAACCAAATTGTACGAATTGATTGGGCTTTGTAATGAGAAACAGCAAACATTATTCTTACTGTTCAAGGGAAAATATACTTAAAAAAAAGATCAACAAAAAAGAGAATTTAATCAGCTTAAAGTGCACGAGCACTTTATCATAGTAGTAGTACCTCTTTGAATTTTATAAAAATTTAAATCATCTTTAAGAATTTACCAGTAGAATCATTCGGATCGACCATTAAGGTGGTAAAGTATAGGAACCCATTCTAACCAAAACCCATACTAAAGGATGAATCAGTGGAAAGATGGGAAGATAAAAGAAAACAAACAAAACTTAAATCCTTTACATGAGATACCTCGTATATTCTTTTTTTTTTTCTATTACCACAGAAAGAAGCACCACGGGCCAAGAAAAAAAAAAAATCTTCCATATCCCATATTTCATTCAGAATCGAGATAACTTCCATCCCAAGATATATTTCTAACATAAGTGGATAAACAAAAAACAAAGAACATTTACAACAAATTTTATATCTTCTCAATTAAAAAAAAAGAAGAAAAGTTAAAATAACCACACAGAAACATATTGAATTTAATTTTCCTAAACACGAATACAGCGTGCCTCAAATTCTGGTGTTCCAAACTCCTTCAAACACTTCACAAACCACTCTGCGACCTTGATCTTGAATCCATCAGACAAGAAGGCACTGTGATTCGTAACAAGAATCTTGTCATTATCAATCTCCCAGATTGGAGAGTCGGCGGGCAGTGGCTCCTCTGCGAAGACATCGACAGCAGCACCGGCAATAACACCGTTCCGCAGTGCCATCACAAGGTCAACCTCGTTCTGTGTGATGCCACGGCCAATGTTGATGAAGATTGCGCTTGGCTTCATCATGGCAAAGCGTTCCTTGTTGAAGAACTCCTTTGTTTCCTCCGTACCTGGCAGGATGTTAACCACGAAATCGGATTCACGAATTACGCGGTCACGCTCTGCATCACCGTGCACCACGTGTACACCGAGTTCATCCACATTGGCAGTTGGGGCCGAGCGCTTCACACCTGTAACCTCCATACCCATTGCGACTGCAAGCTTCGCTGTGGCCTGGCCAATGTCACCATAGCCCAAAATACCCATCTTCTGTCCGCGCAGCTCAATCATGTTAAAGGGGTCCCACTTGTGCTCGGCGCGGCTCGCCAGCAGACGCCATGTCTTGCGGTTGAAGTACAGCATGGAGTAGATTACGTGCTCTGCCAGGACGGATGTGAATCCACCTCTACCATTCGTGAATGGAATTCCGTTAATCTCGGCTTGAAGTTCCTTTAGGCGGTACCAATCTACTCCCGCTGATATACTGTGAATCCATTTCGTTCTTCGCTCTTCCGTCGTTTTTTTGTAGTCATCACACAGGAACTTGATCGCGTCATGGCCTAGAGGGCCCAATACAAGCAAGACAAGTTTTTCACCAGACTGTTTTACACTATTAAACTCAATAGCTGGATTAGAATTACTTAAAACAATCCTGGAAAAGTTAATGTCTCCAATAAGGTCCCTAAAAAGCTCCACTCTTCCTTCAAAATGAGAACAAATGCAAAGAGTATATCGAGACATTAGCTTTCCGTTACGTAATAGTAAAGCAAAGTCCTTTAAACTGGAAAGGCAAAGAAGATAAGGGAAAAACGTCATTTGAAATAAAATAAGATCACTTGGTGAGCACGAATATACACAGCATTCTCATCTTCAAGCAACACTAGATAAAAGATAAACATTCACACGTCACTGTTACTCTATCTGTACTAGTTGGTATTACATGCGGATCTATTAGCGGACTAGTAAAATAAGTAACATGCTTTCATATCAACAAACTTACCAATTATTGCACTTCATAAATTGTAAAAACAATGTTAATTTTGTTTGTGGCAGAGAATAAAACATTATCTATCACACACCCTCCCCAAGAACATCCTTTCTTATAGTTTTCAACAAGAAAAAACCATGAGGGAATCAGTGCAAAGTAAAAGAATTGAGGCACTGTCGTATCGCAGTATCCGCTCTAAAACTACACTTCATTATAGAAAAAAAGTAAAGATATCAACATGACGTATCACTCCGGCATTCAGAAAGTTATCATATGGCGGTAAACGGACAGACACAATTATACAACAGACAAGTACCTCAACAAACACCTTGGAGATTGAATACTACAGTAAGCCACTCACAAAGGTCCAAACCTCTGCGCCATTATCATATATTCTCACAATTACTGGTAAATCCGATACGTCAACGCCAAAACCACAGCAAACATTATTCCACTATACCAGCAACCTCCTTCATAGACAACAAAAAAATTAACTAAGCATTGAAAAAGCCAAATTAAAAACTTTCACCAAAAAAAAGAAAACAAAACAAAAAACCATACTACACGAAAACAAACAATTACCACATGCTACCTCCTCAATAAAGAGAAAACTCACCCAATAAAAACCATCAAAGAAACATACACTTCTCAATAACTAATAAACACAGAAAAAAAATTAAAAAAAAAACAAAAACAGAACTCTCTTTCGTATGACAAAGAAAAACCAGAAAACATATTCCCTTCCTCTTTTAGAAGTGTTCCATTTTCATAATTCATCGTTTTCATTCTTTTCCATTCGTTCCATGTTTCTTTGCTTTTTCTCCCTTTCCTTATAACCCTGTAGTCACCCAAACAGTGAAAAAAAAAATATATATATATGTCGTTTTCTTTTGTTGTTAATTTTACCCTATACTACTTGCAATGCGTGCATTGACTCAGTAACCACGACCCAACTCCACAAGGTACGTATCCAGCTTCCCTGTCTTCACGTACTTCTCCACAAGTCCAATGAAGCGTCGAACCGACGAGGGAACCAGATCAACAGTCCTGTCTGCCGAGTGAGCGGACAGCAGCAACTTATCGTCGCCAATCTCCCAGATTGGAGAGTCGGCGGGCAGTGGCTCCACTGCGAAGACATCGACAGCAGCACCGGCAATAACACCATTCCGCAGTGCCATCGCAAGGTCAACCTCGTTCTGTGTGATGCCACGGCCAATGTTGATGAAGATTGCGCTTGGCTTCATCATGGCAAAGCGTTCCTTGTTGAAGAACTCCTTTGTCTCCTCCGTCCCTGGCAGGATGCTAACCACGAAATCGGATTCACGAATTACGCGGTCACGCTCTGCATCACCGTGCACCACGTGTACACCGAGTTCATCCACATTGGCAGTTGGGGCCGAGCGCTTCACACCTGTAACCTCCATACCCATTGCGACTGCAAGCTTCGCTGTGGCCTGGCCAATGTCACCATAGCCCAAAATACCCATCTTCTGTCCGCGCAGCTCAATCATGTTAAAGGGGTCCCACTTGTGCTCGGCGCGGCTCGCCAGCAGACGCCATGTCTTGCGGTTGAAGTACAGCATGGAGTAGATTACGTGCTCTGCCAGGATGGGCGAGTAGCAACCACGGGCGTTTGTGAAGGGGATGTCCCTCAGCTCCTTTGTGAGCTCATGCAACCTGTATGCATCAATTCCTGAAGAGAGACTGTGGATCCAGCGAACGCGGCGCTGCTCCTTTGGCAAATCGTAGTCATCGGTGAGGTACTCAATTGCTGTGTGACCAATGGCGCCAGCAACAACGAGAACAATAGGTTCATTTGATGCCTTCACGAGTTTGAAATCCTTAATAGGGTCTTCGAGAGACAATACCATATTTTTAAAGCCACCATGCTGGGTCACGTATGTAACAATGTTTTCCATCATTTCCTTCGTCAGACAAACTGCGAGGCACACGGTGCAGTTAGAAAGATCCTTCATACTTGGAATCCTTTTTTTTCTTCTTCTTAGAGCAAAACTTCAAAAATAATGAAAAAAAAACCACAGATTAATACAAATTAAAACAGCTCCACATACAAAAAAAAAAAAAAATAGGCCCCAAAATACCTTACACATATTTTTACGATGATACATCAACCAAATATTTAATATCCCGTGGTCGTAGAGGGCTGATAGCCCCCAAAAGGTTTACCATTTAAAAAATCTTTAGCANGGGGTATGAGGAAGATTAAAAATGATCTGTTTTCTTTTGCTTTCTATGGTTGATCAAGGAAGTACATACGGAGAAAGAAAGAAAGAAAGAAAAAGAAAGAAAAGGTAGGAAAATTTTTTGGTTGTAATTGTTAATTATTTGATTTTGTTGTGTTTGTTTGTTCGTTTGAGTTGGTTAAGTTAGTGTATAGGAGATTGAATGAAGAGGTTTATAGAAAATGTTTACATGTATGTAGACAGGAAGTTGTTGTTGTATATTTTTTCTACCTGTCTAATATTTTGTATGTAGTACATATGTTTTGGATGACATAAATGTTGAGGAATGATTTTTTCTAATTTATTTGAGTTGGTAATCTTCTCGAAGTTTTGTACGTTGCATTGGATCATCTTTGTAGGCCATGAACATTCCCCAACACTCACTGCTTGTTGCTGGGTATTCATCAATGTTATCTTTAAGGTATTCAGCTGTTACATCTATTGTAACGTTCTTAGTCGTGAGCATACGTTCTTTTTCTTGTATTCGTCCAACCGGTGGAATTGGAGGAGGTGTGTATCCGGTACTACGTGCAGTCTCTGTTAAACTCTTGTCTGCTTTAAGTGAACATTCTTGTAGGTACGCCATTCCAGTGGGAGACATACCTTTTTCAGATCTTGGTGAAACTCCAGGAGTTGATGAGAAACCACCAAAACCCATAGTACGACGTAGTTTATCTGTTTTTTCGCGTCTTGTAGAGATTCCTTCCTTGTCGAGTATATCCTTTAGTTTTAATGTCTCTCCAGGAGTAGTGGGGTCTGTATAACTAAGTTCCTGCACAGTAAGCTGACTTTGTGGAGGTGATGCAATATCCCCATGATAAAAAAGTAACTGTGGTGGAGCTTCAGCGCAAAAACATCCTGGTGGTTTAGCCGCGAGTAATTCCTCCTCACTGCTGGTGCCTTTGTATGATGATTTATATAAAGTTTCACCCTCCATTGGTGATTTCCCGGGATCCTTCAGGCCAAAGGAGGTACGTTCCTCCTGCCAGTTCCCCAGCAGCGTCGCACAGTGATACTCCGATTTGTGTCCGCTTGGACCAATAAGGCGAATACGCATGCGAGGATTCTGAGGCATTTTTCACACAAAATAATCTTTCGTAGAGAAATATATACTGAAAATGAATATATAAAATAAAATAAAAACACACACACACAGAGATCTTTCTTTTTTCTTTCTTTTTCTTGTATCTCACTGATTGAACTGTCTCTTGACGTTCTACTAGAATGTACTAAGTGATGCAAGAAGAAGGAGATAAATGTAAATTAGACATTGTTGCAAGGTCAAAAACAAGATGAAATAGTACCAAAAACAAAAAATCACTCACTTTCCCCTCTCTCTCTCTCTCTCT